AGACTTACACCGTAATTTCTAAGTAGATTTCGATGAATATACAAGATAATTTAAAAACGAAAAAAGGGCACTTTTATAATATACCTACTAAAGACCTAAATAATTGTATCACGTTTTAGCAAGAGATCATGTAACTTATCTATACTAATATTATAAAGAGGAAAGATTTGTTTGTTTGTTTGTTTCGAATAGGCTCCGAAACTACTGGACCGATTTGAAAAATTCTTTTTCCATTAGAAGCCGACATTGTCCCTGATGAACATAGGCTACTTTTATTTATTTATTTTTGAAGTGAAACTTCCTTATCGGCGTTGGAAAAAAATTTACCGTCACATTTTTCGGTTACGCGTCACATTTTTCCGTTACGCGCCATCTTTTTCTTGCCCCTACCACGGTTGGTTCAGACGAAGAGTACTTTCACTTTCTCCAACGGAGTAGGGATAGCATTAATGTTTCACTTCTTACGTGTGTACACTAGTACACGCACACATTTTTGAAGTGAAACTTCCTTATCGGCGTTGGAAAAAAATTTACCGTCACATTTTTCGGTTACGCGTCACATTTTTCCGTTACGCGCCATCTTTTTCTTGCCCCTACCACGGTTGGTTCAGACGAAGAGTACTTTCACTTTCTCCAACGGAGTAGGGATAGCATTAATGTTTCACTTCTTACGTGTGTACACTAGTACACGCACACATTTTTTTATTTTATTTTTTTGGTTTCATGTGTGTTTTAATGTTTCCGAAGCGAAGCGAGGGCGGGTCGCTAGTCTTCTATATATTAATACGTGAAGCAAAAACTTTGTATCCCTTTTTACGAAAATTGCGCGGACGGAGGAGTATTTTTCCACACTTATAGAGAATATAGAGAAGTGTAAAATGCTAATTTTTTTTAAAAAATAATGCATAAAAGATACTTTAAATCAATAAAGAAAACATTACACACACTACCATGTATTTGACACTACACATACATAAAAATATACTGTTTGTTTACTGTCAATTGGGAATCTTTTGTTACTGTTTAAGTCTGTAGTCAAATTGAAAATAGATTAATATTGTTCGTCATTAATATTATTGATCTATATTGCAGTTTTGGTGAATACTGTGATAATATTATCGAAATATAATAGTGTTTGACAACAGACCCATAATAATGTTTAAACTTACAATTGCAATTAATTATAGTCGAATCTCGCCTACTGCGGGGCCACTAGTGGTAATTGTTACCTAATACTAAATATGAATTTAACGTTTGTAGTAATAGCTCGGCTATCATCACTATTCAAGTCGGTAGACATTTAAAAACAACCAATACAATTACGAACCAATGGTTAAAATTCAAATATATTAATACGTGAAGCAGAAACTTTGTACCCCTTTTTACGAAAATTGCGCGGACGGAGGAGTATGAAATTTTCCACACTTATAGAGAATATAGAGAAGAAGTGCACAATGCTAATATTTTTTTTAAATAATGCATAAAAGATACATTAAATCAATAAAGAAAAGATTACACACACTAAATACCATGTATTTGACGCACACACGCATGCATACTATTAATTGTCAAACTTTTTTTCTTGACGTCTGTGGTCAAATTATAGAAGTATAAAATACAATCATAATAGTGCACAAACTTACAATTCTAATTAATTATAGTCGAATTTCGACTACTGCGGGACCTCTAGTTCAAACTAAAATCGTCTGAGATCAGTGTTACAATGACATGTGAGGAACGTTTGTTTTGTAGTTATCACAAAAACTAGCGCCATCTTTTTATCTCACTGAAGCTATTGTTGTCGTAAAATGTCGATAGATGGCGTTGCTGGTAAAGACTACTGACATTGAATGTAAACTAATTTCTTTTTTTTGCTCATAAATTGATGTCTTACGAGTGTGGTCGTTATTGTCTATGCAACGAAAAAAGGGTGGCTTTTCACGACTTACACGAATTAAACCTAAACTAGTTATAGCGAAATCAAATTATAAAACTATACTAGATTTACTTGTATCGTATTGTTCTGTATGCTTAGGGTGAGTTTTTTAACGTTCTCGATAGCGTAAAAGTTAACTCAAATATGCACGGACTTGAACATTTGCCGCTAGGGGCGCTGTTCCAACTACATACTTGAGTTAACTTTTACGCTAATAAAAACTTACACTGTAAGTAGCACACTGTTTGCTTCTTGCTGCCGAACCTATATGTCTGGATTGGACTTGAATGACCCCATAGATCAACCTGATGATTCCCTGAACGAATCATCGAAATCCGTCTAGTTGGGTGGAAGAGCTCACAGCCCACTTGGTGTGCTTACTGGAGCCCATAGACATCTACGACGTAAATACGCCACCCACCTTGAGATATAAGTTCTAAGGTCTCAGTATAGTTACAACGGCTACCCCACCCTTCAAACCGAAACGCATTACTGCTTCACGGCACATATAGGCGGGGTGGTGGTACCAATCCGTGCGGACTCACAAGAGGTCCTACCACCAGTCTATAGTATAACTTTATTGCCTTGTACAGACGAGCATACGGCTCTTCTAATGGTGAGTGGTCTCTGTCGCTCATTAACGTAAATACTGCCACAATAGGGACATAGACAAGCGGCTTCCTACTATTACGGAAGGAGCCTCAAGATTTTTAAACCTCGTTTTGAAGAACTATGAATCGCATCTCCGTGGGATAGAAGCCACATTAGTATAATACAAAGTGTGCATAGAAATTAAACTGCTACAATTAATTAATTATATAATAATAATAATAATAATAATAATGTTTTTATTTCAAGTATCCATGACTCATATAAATTGTTAATAAGACTTAGACCTATGTTAGTAGTTATATTTACATCACAATGAATTACTGTGGTAACATCCCATGGGAGATGGCACCATAGCGACCCATGTATATACAGTCCAGCCTGCTTGCGATCATGCTCAGGATACTGTTGGAGCTGGCCCTCACTCTGTTTACCAGAGATGCACACCTCTTACGCATGGTAGCGTAAAAACAATCTATGTGTGCGTCTGCAAACATCCCTGATGCGCTACAAAAGCGGGGCAGCACCACCAGCACCCTAAACGCGTTATTGTATTGAAATAATAAAATAGTATAAAGGAAATATAATTTAAAGCCAACGTTACTGTGGATGAGAAGTCAGCGCGCGTTACTCTACCATTGTTACGTCATTCGTGGATCGTAAACACAACAGCACGTGTCAGGAGTGCTTACATCTCGCATTGATGTATAAAAATAGAAAAAAATAAATACGTATTCCGTAAGTAAGTACGTAATGGTATTTGTTGAAGTGCGCGCTCCGTGCATATTCTGATATGACCTGATTATGTTCTATCGTTACACATTTTACGCGGTTTTTGCTGCTTTATACATAATTCGTCGTGGCCTAAAGGATAAGACGTCCGGTGCATTCGTATGAAGCGATGCTCCGGTGTTAGAATCCCGCAGGCGGGTACCAATTTTTCTAATGAAATACGTACTCAACAAATGTTCACGATTGACTTCCACGGTGAAGGAATAACATCGTGTAATAAAAATCAAACCCGCAAAATTATAATTTGCGTAATCACTGGTGGTAGGACCTCTTGGGAGTCCGCACGGGTAGGTACCACCACCCCGCCTATTTCCGCCGTGAAGCAGTAANAAATCAAACCCGCAAAATTATAATTTGCGTAATCACTGGTGGTAGGACCTCTTGGGAGTCCGCACGGGTAGGTACCACCACCCCGCCTATTTCCGCCGTGAAGCAGTAATGCGTTTCGGTTCGAAGGGTGGGGTAGCCGTCGTAACTATACTGAGACCTTAGAACTTATATCTCGAGGTGGGTGGCGCATTTACGTTGTAGGTGTCTATGGGCTCCAGTAACCCATAGACACCTACACTAAAGTATTAGGTCTTTATTTATGAAGATGCTATTTAGTATATAGAAATTTAATTTTTTTTTTTTTATATCGCACCTTTAGAATTGAAGTGGCCTTGCTAGGCTTCGTGTTAGCAACGTCGTCAGGTTTGAGCCCCGTGAGCTCACCTACTAGTTAAGGTTACGCTGATATAGCCTCTCAGGGCTATCAGCTTAGGTAGGAAAAAAAAGTTGTAGTGTCGGAGCAGCGGGGACGAGAGATTAACCAAAGCTGGCCGGAAATTTGTGAGCTTCTCCATCGTTTGGTCCAGTTCCTCACGGTACACATCCGTAGTAATGCTCGTCACATTTGGGTAAGAGGCTGTGATGAATTATACTGGCACTGGACCCCCAAACTCTTACCGTGACCTTTGTAGGTGTCAATTTTCGTTTGGGGCATTGCCTAGGTGCTAAATCAAGATCTATCCAACCGCTATGACCGCTTACGATTATCAAAAAGAATCCATTTTTCATTGCAAGTGACAATGCGGTTGTTTCATTTCTGTGACTATTTAACAACGCAAGGCATACCTTAATGCGTTCGTCACGCTGTCGATCATTCAATTCATGCGGCACCCACTTATTCAATTCTTCTTACCTTTCCAATTTGAGGCAACCGAACCAATATCGTTTTGATGACAACATTGAAAGCTGTCGATAACTCGGCGATAGATCGATCATCAGCTTTCACTATCGCTATAATAAAGTATGTTTTTAATTGTATTTTTTGATTTGTTTTTTCCTTTATTGTAAATATTTTTATTCATTTAAAAAAAAAAAAAATTTGAGAAAAAACAAAAAAAAAAGCCCGCTGAGTTTGTTTCGCCGGTTCTTCTCAGGACTGTGGCTTTTTTTGGAACCGGTGGTAGAGTTAACATTGTTATTTGTATTTTGACATTCAACAAGTGTGTCATACTGACATCTAAGTTGAAATAAAAGATTTTGAATTTTGAATTTGAATTTTGTAATAAAGGGTTAGGCTCTTTTTAGTTACCGTTATATTCTAAAGTAAACCAAATGAATTGAGGTATATTTTTAATCATGGAAAATATAAAATTAATTGTTTAATTTAAGTATAAAATTTCAATGATTACTCTAATAAAAAAAATTGTTATTTTATCACTTGAAAAAAGTTTCATTATATAAATAAATAAATAAGTTTATTATAAAATATTGACATTATGTTCCATCTAAATACTGTCTTCATTAAATTGTGGCCATGTCATCATTGATAAACCGATAATGTGTTTGCATTTATATGTTTTGTAAAATGTAGGGCAGTTACATTTACTCAAATACCACAGCTGTTTATTTAGCGGTATTGAAACACGACTCTCACTAAAATGTCTCTTGATAAAAACATCAAAACTGACCCACTTGTTGTCATCATCATCATCATCTATCTGCACTCCATTTGTGACTTCATAATGTGTGTAGTTATCATCAACAAGCAAAATGTTCGTTTTAGCTCCTTTGACCCATTCAGTACCAATGATCCAGTCTTTTTTCGTTACTTCTGGTGTTTTCACAAATATATCTTTATCAGCAGCATACCCTGTTGATATTTCATTTATGACATTTATAAGAACATCTAAAAAATGTGGTAGCTGTAAACTCAAACATAACTTCTCATCGTAAGTATCTTTTATCTGTTTTATATACTTGAGCAATGCAAAATTGGTCTGTATCGATGGTCGAGCTGCCCCTAAGAACCATTTACGGTCATTGACCAACCATTTCTCCTTAAAATAAGCTATGAATGTTGTTAAATGATCGTATTTCTCTAAGAAAAGTTCAGAAGCTGCATCAAAGATACTTGGACAGGTCACAGATCTTAGTAAATTCAAGTCCTTCATAAGTTGTCTCGGTGATCTTATGGACCATTTTAATTGATTGACGATTTGTTTCTGTGCATACCTCCAACATGTTCTAGTTTTCACCTGGAAGACATCAGCAAAAGCGTCTTGAACAGCCTCAGAATCGGATACAATTACAACAGGCCTCATTTCTTTGCAAAATAATTCTTTAACCTTTGTCCTCATGTTGAAAAAAATTAATTTAAAAGTATAATAATTTAATGATCCACATAAAATTATGCATATTGCATGAAACTTTCCTTTCTTATCTGTTGCCCCTAAAACGAAAGCTGGAAGATTACTCCAAGCTAATTTCTGCATCGTAGCCAAATGATATACTTCAGCATCGACTGCCAATTTGAAGAGATGCTTTGTTGAGATCACAGCGTAAAAAGTGTTTTTGTTGTGTAATACTTGATGTGAAATAACAAAAGCTTTGTGCTCCTCCTTCAGTGTGGTAGAGTGTGTTTGTAGCCAATTCTCCAACATTCTCAAGTCGATAACAACATCCTTGATCTCTCGTTGCAAAACATCAATATACAGCACCACTTGATTGTAAGTGGGAATCTTTAAATCGTTCCGCTCCATTAATCTCTTGTAAATGTCCTTTGCATTCAAGTTTTGGGCTTGTAAATTTCGTATGAATTCCTTTACTGGTGTTTTAATTTTAGCGATCTCTGTTTTTTCGTTTGTATGATTGTGTTTGTCGGATTTGTATAAAGTAACTTCTTTCGTGTCACTGTCTATAACAACGCACAGTTTGGCTCCGCACGATTCTCCTGTGTCATTGACATCTTTACATTTATAATAACGCTTTAGACCTGCGTGGTTTACTAATTCCGCGATCCTGATCCACATACCTTCGTTACTAAGCGAATATTCCGCCAATTCTATGTTCTGATACTTCCTTACAGGAATCCAAACAATTCTAGTGCGCACTCTCTTCGAGAAATTCATTTTTGTTGTGACACAAACACGGAATTTTTTTGAACAATTTATTCACCCATTTTCGCGCGTCAACTTATCGATCCAACTCACTACTGGCATGAGGTACAACGTACGAATTCGCATTAACTTGTATTTCCATTATAAATTAACTGTTAATTGTGTAATCAGCTCATTATTTTGCGCGATTCTACAGACTACAACGGAGTTGATTTGACGTAAGTGACAGTAGTGTTGGGATGTAGAAAAACTTATTCGTTCATCGTGAATTCAAATCAAATGATATCGATGTAAAAACAATAATATTTCATATTACGTTTTTCTTTTTCCATTTGTGATTTGAATTCTAATTAGAATTCATTGAAAGTAACGGATTAAATCTTGTATTTTTTTGCTTTCGTTGGTTTAAAAAAGATAAGGAGGTAACCACGGCTGGTTGGGGCTATACAATATATGTACATAGTTAAATTATTATGAATCAGCTGCCAGTGTGTACGAATTGTAAAAATAAAAAGGATACCAAGATTTAATTTATTTATTTTTCATCTTATTAAAACTGTAATCTCAGTATGGGGTTAAAAATAGGCACCATAAATTTATTTTAAAATTATTATAACATACATAAATATATACGATATTTTTAACACATATTTTATTTCAAACGATATACTGTTGTTATTAACCTTTGTTATTGATTTGCAATAATTAAATTTTTCATTATGTACAGTATTGTCTGGTTCCTGAAATTATCTGTTTGTGATCGAACGGACTATGTAACTTTAAAATGACGTCGAGTTCACGTTATTTTTATTTACCCTACTGATAGTAATGACTAAAAAGCTAATAAATAAATTACAAGGTTATAACGCAGCGCTAATTGTATGACAAAAATATCGCATTCTCTCGGCAGCAGGACAATAACAAAATTGTAAAGTAACAGTAACAAAGTAACCAATTAACTCTCACTTAGGTCTTGGCCTGAATTAATATCATTATTAATTTTACTAAGACATGTTTTTTTTTTTAAATCGATTATCGATATATTAGACTAAATATCTATTAGGTTCACGTCCCTTTTGACTCGTGCTGAGACACCAATCTCGGCCAATCAACGTCAAGACAGAAATGGCTGACCAATCGTAAATGTAACAATTGCATACAATAGTCGGATTATCTTGCTACACTCTCTGTCTCAACTGAAATTAAAGCCAGACACATACTATCATCGTAAAATAGATGAAAAGTGTAGTCTAAGTTTTAACTTTTGTGCGATTTCTATAAGCAACTGGATTAATATTTTATGGTATTCTAAACGATTTGGTACAGTGTGAGATATCATACCAATTCCTAAACGCATTCGATACCCGTAAATCTAAAATGTAGCTATCTCGCTCTTTACTCAACTTCCGTCTTGTCTTTTTCCTAAGTGTTCGGTTAAGTGTGTGCTCCTATATTAAATAATACTTATTAATTAATTAAGTGTTTCCATCCATATATGAAAGAATATATGAGTCGACTATTATCAAAGCCGGCAATCTGACTTTTGGATAATTATTGGTAAATCAGAAAAACGAATTATTGACTTTGTATTCCATTGGCAGTCACAAAACTCTTCGGAACGACATCTTAGATAAATAACAGGTTAACTATTAACCTTTATTTAATGCAGGTTTTGAACCGTATTCTTTGAAGGAGACGATTATATTCAAATCAATCTGTATTGACATATCGATAACATTTTTTTGTCCAAATGCACAGAATGCCACCTTTGATAATAGACGACTCATATATATATATTTTTTTATTACTTAGATGGTTGGACGAGCTCACAGCCCACCCGGTGTTAAGTGGTTACTGGAGCCCATAGACATCTACAACGTAAATGCGCCACCCACCTTGAGACATAAGTTCTAAAGTCTCAGGTATAGTTACAACGGCTGCCCCACCCTTCAAACCGAAACGCATTACTGCTTCACGGCAGAAATAGGCAGGGTGGTGGTACCTACCCGCGCGGACTCACAAGAGGTCCTACCACCAGTAATAAAATGGAGATTTGTTAAATCAATACGACAAAAACTTGTAAATCCGATATATTGTGTCAGTGATAGTGCTGCCATCTCTATAGAATTTCGGGAATTATAATTTTCAATATCGTTTCAAAATCGTTTCATTTTGATTTGAGAGTATACGCGAAGCTTTATATTAATGTGCCGAACGCCTTGACCGTTGAACCTTCATGCTCGGCGCATGCGTCCTACATTAATGCATTTAATATCGATAACATTACGCAAAATGATGATGTTATTGTTCGCGCGACACGAAACGCTTCGTAATCGCTTAGAATGATACAAACTATATTGGTTAAGCTACCCGATACACTTAGAGCCAGGCCATTGCCTTTTTTCTTAAATGATTGAAGTAATACTAGCAATACCGTCTTTACCATAAGGGCACACGGGGCCCGTGCCCAGAGCCCCCATTCTCAGGGGGCCCCTAAGGACCGACAATTTCTCTCACACATTTATTCTCAAACATTTTTGTCGGGCACATTACACTTTTTTCACAAATCAGTAATCTTATTAGAAGGTACCTATTTATAAGGCATACTACGCCATTATATCGATGACTGCGCCTATTCCTACTGTACTAATTAATAATATTTCCGAACGCATCCTACCTAATTTACTAAGTACACCATCTAGCGATCGTAACCAAAAAACCAGCAGCATTCTAATATCATTAATGACATATTATATCATACTGTATTTGATTACCTTTTTTTTTTTATTGCTTAGATGGGTGGACGAGCTCACAGCCCACCTGGTGTTAAGTGGTTACTGGAGCCCATAGACATCCACAACGTAAATGCGCCACCCACCTTGAGCTACAAGTCCTAAGGTCTCAAGTATAGTTACAACGGCTGCCCNTTTTTTTTTTATTGCTTAGATGGGTGGACGAGCTCACAGCCCACCTGGTGTTAAGTGGTTACTGGAGCCCATAGACATCCACAACGTAAATGCGCCACCCACCTTGAGATACAAGTTCTAAGGTCTCAAGTATAGTTACAACGGCTGCCCCACCCTTCAAACCGAAACGCATTACTGTTTCACGGCAGAAATCGGCAGGGTGGTGGTACCCACCCGCGCGGACTCACAAGAGGTCCTACCACCAGTAATTACGCAAATTATAATTTTGCGGGTTTCATTTTTATTACACGATGTTATTCCTTCACCGTGGAAGTCAATCGCGAACATTTGTTGAGTACGTATTTCATTAGAGAAATTGGTACCCGCCTGCGGGATTCTAACACCGGTGCATCGCTTTAACACAATAATAAATGGTCATACTCAGTAATTTTTTTTTATTTTAATTCGCTTTTTTTACTTTCCAAAAGGGCCTCAAATTCTTGTGTGCCCAAGGGCCCCAGCCTAATTTAAGACGTCCCTGAATACTAGTGGCCCGGAAGCCTTTCCAGTTTCACCGGTGTGCTTAGTGCGAGTTTTTTAACGTTCTCGATAGCGTAAAAGTTAACTCATGTTTGTATGGAGTGGGATCGTTTGCGTATGTTTGCCGCTAGGGGCGCTGTTCCAACTGCATACAAAATTGGCTTAACTTTTACGCTATCGAGAACGTTAAGAAACTCGCACTAAGCACACTGGACAGGCGAGCAAGGCTCAGGGATTTGCAATTTTTTTTATCCTTCCCTACCTAATCGTTGGTAGCATAGCTATTCCAACTTCGCGCGGACTGATAGGTGAGCTCACGGGTTCAACCTGAGAGAATTGCTAACATTAGCCCTAGCAAGAGCAGTGCTTCGCTGAATCTACTACCGGATCGAAATCGCAACCCACTGAGAAGATCCGGCGAGAAACTCAGTGGGCTGTGTCTATGGGTTAATTCGCTCGTCGAGCCCTTCATCGCAAGCGACGGGTTCGACGAGGACGGTGACCGGTGCTTGTGGTGCCTAAAAGCACCGTTAATGGATCAGGAGGATCCGTAATGACGTGCTTTGGGCGACGTCGACGGTTTACCATTTGGTCTACTGGGTCGGGTATGTAGTTTCCAGCGGTTACGATGAGAGGGTTCGATGTCGCGTTTCCGATCCGGTGGTAGATTCTGCGAAGCACGGCTCTTGTTAGGGCTAGTGTTAGTAAACTCTCAGGTTAAGCCCTTGAGCTCATCTATCCGTTCGCGTGAAGCTGAAATAACCCCTTAGGCTACCAGAGAATAAAGGAAAAAAAGCATCGAGATGCATAAGTATCCCAAGTCCGAGCCCCTGGGAACACGGCTTGGCTTCCAAAGTCCAAATAAGCCAAGTTTAAGCACATTAATATGACGCATTCCACCATCGACAACAGAGCGCATGTATCCGCCCACACGTGGTTAACATATTAGTACAACTATTGTATTGAAGTAACATCATATAGCTCCGCTTGTATAGTGCTCTACTCCAGTGAAGTTTTCGTTTGCCGAATTCTTAACGTTTGTAAATGTAATATTCTTTATTCGTGGGGTATATGTTACATAAATATGCTGCGAATACCGGTTCTAAGTCGTCGTGGCCTAAAGGATAAGACGTCCGGTGCATTCGTATGTAGCGATGCACCGGTGTTCGAATCCCGGAGGCGGGTACAATTTTTTTTCTAATGAAATACGTATTATGTGCCAACGCTATTATACCGTTCGTCACTAGACCAGGTAATCATTTAAGTGGCCCCGTTTTGCATCTAAGTATGCAGTTTACAGATTCTGTATCTACCCTAATCCATCCACAGAAGGAGCCCGTGAATGCTAATATAAAAAATTAAAAAAGAAGGTCTTATTAAAGTAACCTCTAACGTTAAATTGCAGTCACGTACCGAAAGCGAAACCGACGACAATGGCCGAAACACCTGAACTGAAACGGATCGCCGAAAACACGAAACTACAGAGCAACGTGAAGTACCACGCCGACTTCGAGAGGAGTAAAGGGAAATTCACACAGGTATTTATTTCTGCCGCGAAGCAGTAATGCGTTTCGGTTTGAAGGTTGGGGCAGCCGTTGTAACTATACGTGAGACCTTAGAACTTATACCTCAAGGTCGGTGGCGCATTTACGTTGTAGATGTCTATGGGTTCCGGTAACCACTTAACACCAGGTGGTGTGAGCTCGTCCACCTATCTAAGCAATAAATAAATAAAAAGGTATACTGATAAAGATACTGTAAAAAAA